TCCAGGCTTTTCCTGAAAATTACTCACTTTTTACTTTAGTTGTGAGTACAATGGTCTGTTTTTCTCGAGGTACACAGGGCATCAGCGTTCTGGACCACTGCTCCCTTGTTGACAGCTGTATTTTTATTATGTGTTCTCAGGAAATGCTGTCCCCGAGCTACAAAACAGGAGAAGAATTAAGAGCCAGTCTTGAGCTCAGAAATTTTCCATTTGGGTTTTTGGATARGGCAGGAAAATCAACCCACAATATAAAGAGAATGTTATGCCACAATCCAGTTAACATCTTCTGTTGAGAAGGAGAATTAATTAGGAAGGAGTTGGAGCCTCTGGCTGACAGATTCATGATCCATGAAGCTAATCAGTTTTGTAGCCTGTCACTGATTTGCTGCAGACTGGTCAGCAGCTGGATCCCATGCTGGGAAGAGAACATTTCCAGCTTGTCACGTTTCCCCTCTTGTGCCCAATGTGGAGCAGGAAGGTAATGCCAGTTTATTTCTGCAGCTCAAAAGTTACTGTTATATCCAGCACTAGCTGTAAAGCCTCAGTGGGTTCCTGGAGAAAGAAATCAGGCATTGAGCTCGGCACTAAATTCAGTGATTTAGCTGTGGTAAATCGCCTGTGCCTGTAGAAGTCACAGCAGCATTCAGGCACTGAAAGGTAACCATGTAGGTAAAATTACTCTGAATCTGTGGTTTAACAGGGCTCAAAATACCTATTGACCTGGTGATTAAAAGTAGAATTTGTTAGCATCAACGAGCAAGAGTTCAATAATCTTTTTTTTAATATTTATCTTTGTCCTTTCATTGATCATGTACCAAATAAGGAGCTGTTCCAACTCTTTCTCGTGCTGTGGCTATAAAACATGAACACAGATCATTCTGAAGCTTTCAAGATGCAGAGCATGTTGGGGTAGAGGTTTTTTTTTGTGCCAGAACTGCAGATGTTTCTTCATGCCCAGTGATTTCATCAAGTCTGTGAAGGAGAGAAACCTTTAGTCATCTCCATCCCAGTAGTTCATTGGAAAAACATATCTTGTATTAAACACTTTAAAGATTCATGAAGCAGCTTTAATTTTGTTTGCATTTCTTCCTGAAGGGTAAAGCTGTCAGAAATCTCTAAATGCATTGCTTAATCCATTTCCAAACTSAGTATATTAAGGTCTGCAAGCAAAACTCATTTTTGGAGTTTAGCAAGTTTGCAGATAGGAAAAAAGGGGCAGGGGAAATAGAGCAGGAAAGATTTTTCTTTCTTTAGTAAGGCACTGAACTACCTGCACGGCTGCAGTGTCASTCCTTCACAAAAAATAGAGCAACCCAAATGGACTGCAAGAGCAGCCTGACAAATAGAGGACTTCACGTGCTTCTCTTGGATCAGATACAAGCAGAGTAAATACATCTATCAGGGAATGAATGTTCAGACAAAAGAAAATTTCCTTGCCTTTATTGCCTCCAAGCTTACAAGGTCACCATGAGCAGGTTCATGTACAGCTGAGCGCCTTTTGTTTCCTCATGTCCCAGTTTCTCATCTATGACCTTTTTTTATGTTAGCACATGGTTTGTTTTTTTTTTTTTTTTTTTTTTTCCCAAGGTTCTGGTCTGCCAGCTGAAGAGCTTTTCCTGTTTTCTTATGCCTGCAAGACAGTGCTCACAGTTGGACTCAGGAGGCTGGCTGGGAAATGTTCATTTAAGGAACAGGTTCAATGTGAGGGAAAGAATGAGTGAAAATCATCTCCAGAATAGAGAAAAATGATCTGACATCAGGCTCCCTGTCATGTACAAAGGAAATAGCTCTGGGTTGCCAGCCAAGCTGTGCAAAGCAGCAAATACAGAATGAGAGCTCTCAAAGACCTTTCCCAAGACAGCAGCAGGATGCCCCAGGTTTGATGTTTGGCATGTTGTACGAAAGGTGCCTGGAGGGTTCTTCCACAAACCAGGTCTAAGCCATCCTCAGCTGGCCCATGGCAGTGATTGGCCATGGCACTGCCTTTGCTGAGCCCCCAATCCTGCACACATCCTTGTCCAGGGAATCTGTGTGCCCTGGAGACCTGAGCTGCTCTGTGGCTGTGTTTTGTGGGCCCTGCTGACAGCTCAGAATGCTCATTAAGCATCATAGGAATGGTAAATGCAAGCTCTGCCTGCCCAGCTTAGACTATTGTTAGTGCTGTCCCTGAGGTCAAACGTGCACTGTGAATTCTTCCTGAGCTCAGGAGTGTTAACCAGGCCAGGTTTCACTGATCCATTGCTGCAATTGTCCTCCCACAGCTCCCAGTGTGGCCAGACCTGSAGCAGTGACACTGTGGTGGCACCCAGCTCCCTTCCCTGGCACAGCACTGGGTGTTTGAAGCACTCAGGCACTGCTCAGCAATCAGGGCTGCACAAAGGGATCATTTCTGAACGTYTTGCTACGGTTCTGTTGGCATAAAGCTGAAGGATTATGAAGGTGTGCCTTGCTAGTGCATTTTGTGCAGTTTGATTTCTTCACATTCTGGTAATTTTCTTCCCAAAAGAGATAATAGAAGTGACTGGTCATGTACTGAGCTGCTCCATCATTAACTCATAGATCTCTGATGATTTCCTYGGTGTCCAGGCTGCTGCTCCAGCCATTTTCTGCAAGGATGCCCTTTGGCTTGTTGAAAGTCATTAGGTTTGTTATAGCCTTACCTCTGTAATGAATGTCCCCTGCTGCCTCTCCCCGGGACCAGTCAAGAGCTGCTCCAAGGAGGATTTTGTGTGTTCTGACACTCTGACTTTCCTAGTGTCACTGTTTTTTGGCTCAGGGTGCCCAGATCTGGTTAGAGTTTCTTGGAATGAGGGAAGTGTTGACTGTAAATTGCTGTGGCTGGTCTCTAATTAGAGCATACATTGGGAAGAGCTCGGGCTTTAATCCAGCAAAGCACTTAAGCACCCACTGATTTTGAAGGAAAGACACCTTAGCTGGGGCTTCTCATGCTCTCAGACATCATCACAAGTGTTTGTTAGTGGGCCAGTAATTTCTCCTGACTGTCTCAGCACACTGATCTCATTTGCTGAAGCGACCTGAGCAGTCAGGAGTTCAAGGTTGACTGGAAGGCTGCAGGAAATAAACCCTTAAATCACTGCTGTGCTTTGGAAAGTGCTCAGCTGGACAGCTGCTCTCACTGCTCCCCATCCTCACTGCAATAAATAAATTTATGATGGCTTTTAGACCACTGCTCAATTCTGAGGTTTGCCTTTGCCCATCCAGGTGCTCCTGTTGCAGTGGGGTTATCAAAGATATTCCAAAATGTAATTGTCAGAGTGCTCTTTCCAAATGCAGCCAGAATGTAGTTTTTCAACTTTGTCCTTCTAATAGGAAAAAAAAAAAAAAGAGGAAAACTGACAGAAGGTTGCAGTGAGAATGATAGGGATGACTTAATCCAGGTGGAATAAGAAATTCAAACTAGGTTTTTATCTGAAGCAGTCCATGATGCCCTACAGTGTAAGCACTGAGAACTAAGGCATGAAAGACTTGTGAACCAGGAAGGCCATGGAGTCACACTTGGGACAATAATGCATTGATTTAATGTGATGAAGAACAAATAAATCAAAAGTCAGGAGGTTTTGGTTTAAGTGTGTGATGTCATGCTGATACCGTTGAGACTCTAGAGAAAATTGCGGTCAGATAAAAGATGTCCCTCATCACGGGAAATCTTGCAAAGTCCACGTTTTTAGCTGATGGCTCTTTCCTGTTGCTGAAATATTCCTGATGGACTTCTTTGATGCGTTGGTGTGCTCAAGAGGAAAATTGCATTCAAAAAAGAATTTTTTTAAAAAAGGGGCTATGTCAGAGCATCCATACTTTCTGAAAACCTCTCTCTTTGTTCCAGGCTCATTTTTTAGGCTGTGTAAGAATGCTGCTTGGYCAGAAATTTTACACACTGGTCCTCTGTGTGGCACAAGCCACCAGCAAGCTGCCAGTAAGGAGCTGTGGMATCAATGACAAGTGCTCAGGTCTCTGAGCAGATAGTGCTGGGATCAGGAATTATGAATAATTACACTTTGCTAGAATTCATAACTGACTTCCAGGGGTTACTCAGCAGTCAGGCATTTGTCACCTGCCCTATCCCCATGACTGCTGATAGYGGGGAAAAAAAGTGATTGTTATGCCAAAGTAATGAGCATAGAGGTCAGAAAGTTTGATAAGAGCAGGAGAAGTCATTTTCTGTGATATCATTAGCAGTATTTTAGAGAGCAGGTTCAGTAATTGYTATGGTAATTCTGAATGGCTTTTGACTGGGAGAACATGGAGGTAGTTTTTAAAGTTAAGCTTTTTTTGCTAATGGGAGAGAATTCCACTGAAATGAGGCAGTGTGGTGCTGCAGAGGGGCATGGATGGGATTTTGGGAAGCAGGAGTTCGGGTCTCTGCTGCGTGACCTCTCCAGGCCTCAGTTTTTCCTCTCAAAATGGTCTGTGGTAAAATGTGTGTCAGTGAGCGGCACAAAAGCAAATTGTGAGTCAGGATGTAGCAACCTCTCAAGCTGACATCTCGGGGGGAGCAAACCTTTTTGCAGATATTTCAGCAAGTGCAGGCCTGTCCAACAAGCACCGTGTGTTTTTTATTGCAAGGGCTCTCTGGGTGGGCAAATACAGAATTTTCTTGAGGGACTGCTGGTTTTAAAAGAGATGCAGTTGTGAGTTAGCAGCACACCCTGGGAGCACAGCCGGGTGTAGCATTGGAGGCCTTCTCCAGGTTGTTTTTGAGCAGTTCTTGGTATTCCTTTGGTTTTCAAGATGCTTTAAAACGTGGTTTCCCCATGCTTTTAACSTGGCAGGGAATGAGAGCTGCTGCAAACCCGTGTGCGTGCACACACCCCGTGGTTTATCCTGGGCTGATCCTTCTGAGCCTTTATCACACCTTTCCTTGGGTTTGGAAAGGACAAAATCTGCAAATCCCTGCACRAGATGGAGAGCAAAGAGGAGAGGATGCTCTTCAGTGTGTTGTGCCTCGCAGAGGGTTTTAATGGTGCCTTCCTTGTCCCCAGGTGCAAGCAGATGTCCTACCCCGATGACCTGCCCCAGATCTCGGTGGTGTTCATTTTTGTCAACGAGGCTCTGTCGGTGATCCTGCGCTCGGTGCACAGCGTGGTGAACCACACCCCRTCCCACCTGCTCAAGGAGATCATCCTGGTGGATGACAACAGTGACAACGGTGAGCTCTGGGGACTTTGCTGCACCCTGAGTGATTCCTGGGTGTGAAACGTAAATGTGTTTGTTGATTGAGCCATTTGCACCAAGCTGTGAGTAAATATTGACCATCTGTATGACAAACAAACATCATGAATCCTGTTGATTTCATTGAAACCCTTGCAGAATGAATGGCATTTGTGTGGGCCATCTTAATAGGAATTTTTCTTAATAACAATCTTAATACCTTTTCTCCAAATTTTCAGATCCAGAGGGGTATGTATCATCATTAATAGACTAAAAATTTAAATTCTTTTAAGGAAAACTGAGGCTAGTAGAGGTTAGTAGATAGTTTCTACTGTTTTAAATGGCAGCCCTCTGTTTCTTCATGAGTTAATCCAAAATCAAAATATCTGTGGTTATATAGGGTGCTGTTGACCATCATGTTTCACAATAGGATCATATTTGAAGATACAAGTGACTAGCAATGTTGTTGAGTTTAAAGTTGTTGTACATTAGTCTTCTAGAATTGATGCATCTTCTCAAATCATATTTATTTACAATAAGCCTGAAATTTAGCATTTCTTCCACAGACCAACATCTTTAAGTCTTTCAGTCTTGCTGTTCAAGATCCCCAAAGAGAAGGGAGAGCTGAGAAGAAAAAAAAAAACTCAAACAGAAAATGAGTTCCAAACCCAATAGATTTAAGAAAATGTTTATGCACTTCAGATTTCAGTTATGGCAGTGTAACCTATGGAGTAATTATGTGAGATTGCAAAGTTTTTGAGTCAAGGCAATCCCGAGGAGAATTGAACTCATCATTTCTCGGTGAACTTTTATTTGGCTTTTCTCTGCCACCCTTCTGGATAACTGGAAATTTATCAAGTCTTTGATTCCAATGATAATGAATCTACTGCCTAATATACATCAGAAGAATGAGGCTCCTAATGTCCTAGAAGCTTCTACTAGTTTTCCTGATAAATACATTTTGGCAAAAGCCACTTTATGAACAAGTTTCAGTGTAAATGAATTGCCAAACAACATGGATTTTTAAAAAATAGAGAGACCATTTTGGTAATTTGCCTGCTTATAAGCCTCTTGCAAGGCTTAGGGTTAGGCTTAGAGTTAGGCTTAGGGTTAGGGTGAATGAGTTCTGCTCCAGCTGTGATTGAAGGCTGGAAAATGAACAAAAGAGATGTCTATTTGCCATCTTCAATATCCATTTAATTCCATTTAATTCAAAAGCAAAGAAGCCTGGTATTGAGGAATCTTAATTATATTTAAGGGAAAACTCTTAAAACTCTTAAAACAAAGGGAAATTAATTGTGATCTGAATTAGGTCTTGGCCCAAAAATCCATTGAGGTTGTTTCTCAAACTCTTACTGAACAGCATAAATAATAAAAAAAAAATAAATCACCAGACTGGCATGTTACACYACTTTATGGCCAGAATTGTTCCTCCAGAGGCCAGTTGTAACCTAACGCAAATCATCAGATAATTGGAATAGTAATGATTTTAAAATATTTAGACAAACTACCTCTTCAAAACTATACCTAAATCCATCATATTACACCTGGACAAGGCTCTGGTTCTTGAGGAGCTTCTCTGAACTGAAACCCCTGGAACAATTGGTGCCTCAGCTGAGGTGGGTTTGTGTCTGTGAGACTGACCAAGGATTTAGGAATATTTAAAGATTCCTTTCCCATCCTGCTGCAGAATAAATCAGGGTAAAACACAGCACTGCAGGGCCTTTCTCATTCTGAACATTTGTGTGGGTTTTTGGTTTTTTTTTCTCCTGCAGTTGAGCTGAAATTTAATCTGGACCAGTACGTGCACAAGAGATACCCAGGCCTGGTGAAAATCGTGCGCAACACCAAACGGGAGGGGCTGATCCGAGCCAGGATCCAGGGCTGGAAAGCAGCAACTTCTCCTGTGGTGGGGTTCTTCGATGCCCACGTGGAGTTCAACATCGGCTGGTAAGTGCTGGGTGTCCCCAGGGGGGCAGTGGCACTGGGACGGTGGCACTGGGATGGTGGCACTGGGATGGTGGCACTGGGACAGTGGCACTCAGGGTGCCCAGCAGATGCAGGCTGCTGCCAGCACATCAGCACATCAACAATCACTCCTGAGCTGTGTTCCTGATTATTGCAACCACTGCAAGACCCACGGAAAAGCTGCTGTGCTGGTCTGGCACGGCTCAGTGGAGAGAGAAGGGATTGGAGCCACCATRGATGTGAAATCCCAAAGCAGTCAGGTGGGGAGACACTGTTAAGGAGGATCTGGGCTGGAAGATTTCAATTCCTTTTTTTAACCTCCTTGTCATTTTCTATCGTTTCTTCTTAGAAACTTGAATACCAGTCTGATTTCCCCATGAATTTTCTTGCATTTACATTTGAGGGAAACATTAAATTATTGCCTGTGTTTTTTTAATAGGGCTTGAAATTAGCATGCATTTCCTCATCCCTCTTTTGGTTTAATGGGCCAGAACTGCACTTGGAATAAACCTTTGTAGCACCACTTGGTGGCCGATATTTGGCATTACTGGAAGTCGGGGCTGTGGGAGCTGCTCTGTATCATCAGCTGCAAGAGGGCTGCTGGGACCTAAGGCATGTGAAAAGTGCATTTTCCAAAGATAGGCTGGTATTTGATAATGATGATGCAGAGTTATGGTGGAAATGATTATGCTCTGCAATTCTGGGAGATATCCTCAAATTAAAACTAAAAATAGCTGTACTTACAACTAGAGAGAAACTTAATTGCATAGGAGTAGCGTGTTTATTTTTATATGTTCATGAATATCTTTATAAAATGGAAGATGCAATAAAATAAGTCTTGTAGTGCACCTGCTTTATGTTCATCCCGTTTTTTTCCTTAGGACTCTGTTAGGCTATAATAGCAGCTGCAGTAATTTTCTAGAGGCTTAAGAGCTGGTTTAATTTATTTATTTGCTTTTAAAGCAAGTAGATCTTTCAAATCTTTTTAAACATCCATCCAGGGTAATATCATCTGTTGGACAGGCTMAGGGACTGGGGAGAGCATGCTCTGGGTGCTGTTCTGCCCAAGCTGCAATTTTCTGAGGCTTGAGGAGGAATTGGTTATCATTTTCTAAAGGACACGGAGATCTGACTGTGGTGCTGCACCCAGGGAAGCTCAGCAATGGTGTCGGTAAGAAGGAAAGGGCTTTGTGGTTGCTCTGTGGTTTGTTAGGGTTTGTTTTAGTTTACTGTAGTGCTTTGCATTAATGTCAGAAAGGGTTGAGATCAGCACAGCAAGAGCGTGGACTGCTCAGTAAAGGAGAGTGTGTRTATTTGAGATAAAGAGGTTGTGTTTCCTGCCCCTCCCTGGTGCACTCTCCCTCCAGCAGAGCACTCAGGGCTCTGTTGTTCTGCTGAGCCAGGCTCTGCCCGTGCTGGGGACACTCAGCTGATAAATGGGGACAGCAAACCAGGACCAAGAGCCCCCTGTATCCCTTCACAGTGTTCCCTGCTGATGTTTCTCCTCTTGTTCCACTCAATCTTTGTGGCTGCCCAGAGCCGTCTCCAGCCCTGCTCACCCCCTTSCTCCTGTTTTAATCCTGCCCACCTGTGCTCATGTGGTTTCCTGTCATCTCCATTTTCATCTCATCTCCTTTGACTGGGAGGAACTAAAGTCCTTCCATCTGGACTGCTCTGGTTTTTTCCACCCGGCTCACATTGCCCCCATTCCATAGGATTCAGGTGGATTCTCTTGTTAAAGTTCTTCTCTTCTATTCTCTACTAAGTTGCACCTTGCATGAATATTTCCCCCCCCTTTCAATGCTTATTTATGTATTCAGAGGCCACATGGATTGCTCCCACTAAAAGCTGTCTATGGATTATTTGTGAGGCAATTWAAAAGAAGCCAATTCCTTTACCACAGAAAAGAGCATTAGCTTTCTGTTTGGTTTGTGTTCCACCTAAAAGTCAAGTGCCTGCAGTGCAATTTGGTTTCCCAATCTATGGCTGCTTTACCTGCCTAATCAGTTGGCAGATTAATTCATAAAGAAACAAAGAAGGACTTCATCACTTTCTCATGAAATATGCAGGACTGACAACAGAAAAAAAACTTCTTTAAACAATAGTTGCCATTTACAGGTGGCTTTTTGCCTGATATTGCGCTGTAGCATTTTATGGGCTCTCACAGCATKGCTCTCCAGGGACACTTGTTCTAAACTAAATTACAATCTGGTAGGATATAAAAAAATACTCTACAACCTGGCAGGTCAAATTAGCTATTGAATTATTTATTTTGCTGTGCTTAATTGCTGCTTTTTGRCTTCTCAGGTGTAGAAATATGTTATCTCAGAGCAGTGATTTTCGACTGACCTGCTCCCCTTAAGGCTTTTGGGGGTGTGAGCCAATACTGCTGCTGTGGGAGTGGAAGTGGAAAGGACTGCCTGAAAGGCAGGCTATTGCTATTAATTCTCAAATGGAATTTTAAATTAGAATTACAGGATAATGTATGAACACAGTTCATATGTAAAATTCTACCTGTCCTGCTGTAGCACCKGGTCTGTTTTTAATGGTTGCTTGATGCCAGTGGGAGTCAGCAACCCAGCAGAGCCAAGAGGTATGAAAATCTCCCACGCTTTCCTCTCTGGGGATGTATTTAAGCTTATTTAGTTCATTTTTCCTTCAGCCCTGTGAAGATATCAGCATTCCTGCTCTGACTTTTGGATTAGATCCCYCCAGTAATACTGAGAGCAGAGCAGCACATCGTGGATGCTGCTTGTGCTGCAGAACATGCAGGGCATTGTGGAGACTCCCGTCTTTGAGAGATGGGGAAGGAAAACATGACAAGGAGAAGAGACCTTCCCTACATTGTGCCTGGGAGCAGGAAAGAGATGACAGAGATAGGGTGTAAATTCTCTGGGTGAGAAAAAGGACACATTGAGTGAAGGAGAGCAGAAATCAGCACGTGAAAGGCAGAAACCACAATATATTAGCAGTCATAAAGAGGGTGCTAGGAGCCATAAAAGAAGACATAATGATAGAGTATTATAGTTGCATTCTATCTTAGGAATTGCTTTTGCTCCTATCACAGAGGTTTTATCAGAGCACTGAATGGAGTTTTGCAGTCCTGTAGTAATTAAAATTCTGCCAGACAAAGGGCCAGTATCAATAAGGAAGCAGTGAAGTAAGAGGATTTAATCAAAAGATTTCAACATATCAGACGGACAGAGCCTGACATGAGAAAGAGAACATGAAATGTAAGTTGAGTACCCATCAGATTGTGTCGCATACATCCCATCATTATGGATTATCCCTGAAGTTGTCAGTGCTTTAAAAATACACAGTTTTAATGAACTAAGAAGAGCTGAAAATCAAGGTTCTTAGACCTGTGGATGGCACTTTGCAGATGCTGCTTTGTTTTGTGAGGTGTAGTGGCCATAAGCAATGGATTCTCAAAACAAATGTGTAAAGGATAAAGGAAGTTGATTTCCTCCTAGCCTCCACTGATTTTGGTTATCCCAAGTAGTCTGTAACAGAGATGTGGTTATGCTTTTTGGGGGCAACAAAGGGTCTTTGTCCCCCCAAGGGCTCTCTTTAACACTTTGATGTGATGTACTGGAAGCCAATGTACCCTCCCTGTCCCCCTGATCACACTCAGGGGGCTCTCTGGGGACACRACAAGGTCCAGATGGCTCTTTCCTTCTAAGGAGAGAAGTGGTGAAGGTGAAATTGCCTTTGCAGCCCTTCTCCCGTGCAGTCTCTCCCCTCTGAGGGGTTCAAGCACATCCCTCCTGCTCAGGAGTTCATTGCAGCATCCCCGGTACCCGGCCAAGGCTGACCTGGGAATCCCAAATGAAAAGGAAAGGACATGTGTTTATTAAGGGAGCTTTTTATTCATCCAAAACCCTAAAGGTCATTTTGGTATGAAATGGAGAACACATTTTAGATGGCAGAAGTGAACCAGTGTTACCTGAGTGGAGAGGGAAGCGTGCACCACAAGCCACGTGAGCCTTTGGGATCCATGGAACAGCCCAGCCTGAGTTCAGGGATGTGCCAAAAAAGCAGCTTCAACTGTTCCTCTACCTCAACAGCCTGGGATGCTCACTGAAGCATCCTCATTGCTCTCAGTGGTGCAGAAAAGAACCATTGAGGTTTGGCAGGCAAAGAGCTGATCTTTAACTCTYCAGCAGGTGTTGGTGCCACGTTCCCTCCGTTCTGGCTGTGGGTCTGAAASTTCCCTGGGCACACAGGAATGCTGATAGAGATGTCAGCCAGGACAGATGGGGAAGTTCTCTCTCCTCTCAGAGATTGAGGAAAGGAGAATGGAATTTATTTCTTTTTTAGTTCTCTGAACACTTATTTACAGGAAAGGCATTGCACATTAAATATTCCTCAGATGGCCTCAGTGAAGAATTATGTATGTCAGTAGATGTGCTTGTCTGCATCTGATAAATGTATATTGTCAGTRAAATGTGAGGTAGTGTATAAAATCATGCAAAATAAGCTTTCAGTTTACACAGCTTTCTTTTTTCTTACATTTCTCTGTTAGGTTTATACTTCACGGTACCTGACAGTGGTAGAGCCAGAGTAAAATACAGTGTTAAACCCACTGAGCCATAAAATCTAGCAGATGAGATCATGTTGTCTTTCATTTATGTCTTATAAGGACTCTTCCCTAACTGCTTGCAAGAGAAAGAGATTCTGATTTGTGAAAGCAGGAAAAAGAAGGTTGGAATTTTTTAATATGAGTCCTTCATTTTTCATCGGAGTGAAAATTGGTATGGTGATGGGGGAGAAGAAAAAAACAGAGATGTGTTTATCTCAGAAGAATTCAGAGATCAGGGGTTTTGGGTACCCACCTGGGATGGGGCAGAGCTGGAAACACATTTCCCAGTGCAATTCCTGCCATTTAGGAAAGGATTTACTTTGGAACGAATTTAGAAAAAGTGACATTTGGGCTGCAGGGAGGAATTTATTGACAAAATGCCTTGTACAATGATTGTAATTAAGAACTGGAAGGTAAAGCCTGCTTCTCAGATGGTGCATGTTAGCAAAGAATCCCTGAGGTTGTGAAGGCCATTGAAGCAGCAGCTTTGGGAGGCAGAGGATCTGGCCTCCGGCATGCATGTGAATTCCCTTGGATTGTCTGCATTTATTCCGATGTTGTGCTTTTTTAGAAGTCTGCTTGAAGTCAGCAGGTGTTTTTACATATTTAAAAAAGTGAATTATATAATCATGTGCACTGAGGAGCTCATTACTAACTTCTTTTTATCTGTTTTTTATCTGGAAGAAGCTGTTCTTTTTAGCATTGTGAAAAATCAGGCTTCCCCTTCGGCATGAGTTCTCCAGCRATCTGATAAGGATGTAAGACAACACAGAGTTTTTGTTTGCTGTGGTTCCCTGTGGGGTWTGAGCTGCTCTGAATCAGCCCAGTGTTAAATACAGAATGCATATATGTTCAGAGCTAGCCTTACAATGGGATTAGAGAGGTCTGTGTGATCACAGTGWGGCCCCTGCCTTTGCTCTCAATCTTCTTACAGGCTTATTCTGTATTCTGCCTTCCATTCTGCCTTCCAACTCTTTTCCTGCCACCAGTGTTTATCTTGGGAGCACTTTTTGAATCCCACAGAACCAGCGTTGCTGGAATTCCCAATAAAGTCATCATGGGTGCTCAACACCTTGGAAAATCCACTGTTAATGAAGAAATCTTTCCAGTGGTAGGCAAAAGCATTGAATTCATGTGCTGTTTAGTGATGTGCTCGACAGACTTGGACAAATCAAAGTGAATAAAACTGAAGTGAAAATACCCTTCAGCTTAATGAAGTCTATAAGAGATCTAAATTTACTGTCCTTTCTCTTCAGTTTTTGTCCATTCACCAACAATCTATTCAGAGAGCGAGGAGGACACTGACAAATAGGTATTTTCAGAGAGGATGGAAGGGAGCATCTTCATATGCCACTCAAATTCCAGTCCAAATTATCTACTTGGTTTTTATTAGGTGGAAAAAAAAACCCCACTGGATGATATGAAGCACTACCTTTAAAGCAGAATCTTTTGATTATATTTAGTTTACTGAAATCCATCATGTCTATGAATGAACTTTCCCTCTTGCTCCAGTAAATAATTTGTTAACAATGTGTGTTGCTCACTGCCCATAAACACCTGGAGTCCAATGCAAGCTAGAAACCTCGTATTTTTGCATCTGTGAAAAACAGAAATGGGTCCCAAAATTCACATCTGGCTTGCAGGGCTGAATCCTGTCCCCCTGCCACTGGTGCCCATGTGGAAAGGAAATGCTCCAACAATATATTACCGCTGTTCAGCTCAGCATATTGGACATCCTTGGACTTCAGCAACCCCTTCCCCTCTTATCCTTTCAGTCCTGTGAGCTGCCAGAAGCACCTATTTCTGCAAATGGACAGCAGAAAAAAAAAACAAGGGGATAAAAAAAAAACAGAGAAAGAATACTGGTGTCTATAAGGAGGATGAGTAAATCCACACAATTATGTTGCGGTATGAAATTAGGGGAAAGAAAATTAGAAATTATTAAGAAAGATGTAATCATAGTCCTTTCAAAAGCTTGAAGCAATTAGATAAAGCCAGAGTGGCCAGGAAAGGTGACAAAGGATCTGATGAATGTGCAGCTCAGCTCAGCCTTGCAGAGTAACTCTGAGGCTGGACTTTGCTAGGTATGAATTGCAATGAAACCTCCTCATATTTCATGGATTACTCCAGATAAGCAGTGCAAACACAGTCCATTGCTCAGTCCTGTTCCAACTCACAGTCCTTCTTTATTGGCCATTACCTGGGGATCTTGGCAGGCAGAAAAATGRACCACAAGCTGTGCTGGCAGTGAGAGGAGGTTGGCAGGATCTGGGATTTGAGTGTTCCTGTAGATCTCACTGGGATGAGCTTGGGCTGAGCCTCTGAAAACCTCTCTCTGCTGTCCTTTATAGGGCAGGACAGGCTGTGAAGTCTCTCAGGTATGCAATGTTTAATTAAAAGGCTCTCCATTCTGGGTTTTTGCTAAGAGAACAGCTCTGYCCTGGATTTTCTCTTTCCATCTGTGACTCAGAGCCTAATTTATTACTTGTGGGTGTGAAAATATTTTGGAAGCTGTGCAGATACTGAACCTTTCCTGTTCCTAATACATGCAGGGGTGTGATTTCCACACATTTGGATGCCAACAGAGCTAGGAAATCACCTCCATGGGTGAGATGAGAGGTTTAGAAGATGAACTTTCAGCARTTCCTTTCATACCAATTGGCTCCATAACCTTGGCATGGCATTTTACTTCTTCTGCCACCCGAGGGTAAAGAAATCAACACTTGTTCAAGCAGTAGCATCTCAAACATTTACATTTCTTGGGTGCAGKAGTCTGAAATAGAATTTCCATCCCGTGGACAGCTCACAGATGCCTCAGATTTTGTGAAAGTTCYGAATCTGTGATTTCACATTAATAGGCTGATGGAGATTAATGGAATTCCATCATGGATTTTGACCCAAGTGTTGTACTACACTCCAGAGATCCCCCCTTGTGCCATTCAGATGCAAAACACCATGTCAAATGCTAATAAATGTGAGCCACACAAATGGAAAAAAACATAGAAATTCATCAGCTGTAGAGTGACAGRAGTAGTTTGTGATAGCTGGTGTGAGAGCAGCACCAGAGCTGGGAGTGCATTGTTCTTTGTGTAAAGAAGAAAATGAGGACCCGGGTTAGAATTTCCAAAACTCAAGTATTGGATTATGATTAAGGGCTGAAAACCAGTGTGACTGTTAAATATTTTTTCCTTCACATTCTTTCTCTAACCATTATTTGGGATACACTTCAGCAGTCCAATTTTAAGACGTCTTGCAAAGTAGCAGGSTAAATTCCCTTTCTATTCAAAATAGGCTCCTCTGGAACATTATTAATCTCACCCAGTTTCAGTGTCTACATTATTAGGAGAGGCATCTGACTGTAAAACTGCCATTCTCTGCCTCTCTCTGCTGAGAATAAAAGTTTGAGGTAATTACTGTGCATGTGGGGGGTCCATTGCAGATATCTGACATTAAGGGAGAAGAATCCCTTATCTTCTTTCAGCTTTTTCATTACACAATCTCAATCTACCCTACAAAGTAAAATACTTGAAAAATGAGCACCCCAGGAGGAATTGCAGAAGGGACATGGAACCTCCAGGATAATTTTTGAGTATGGTGGTTAAATGATCTTGCTTTGTATCAACATAAACATAATTCAGAACTGGACAGTGATCTGAACCAAGGTCATTTTTTTTTTCCTCTACAACTTTTGAAGAGGAGGATTTTTTTCCAGGCAAACAATTAATGACGCCTGTACCTGTTGTCTGGTATTTTGAAAGCCTTTGTTTCARAGGCCAGAAGGGAGCAGGAGAACCTTATGCCCAAGGGTTGCTGTGTCCATGTGTGGAGGGACCGGATTTGTGATGGAAAAGGGGTGTTTGCCTGGCATGTCCTGAACACAAATAATATGGAAAAGAACAAGCAGATTCTTTCCCCTGCTTTGTTGGATTTGCAAGAGTTTCTCTGCTGTCCACCCACTGGCTTTTAAAACACTTAATCTCATAAATATAATCTCATATTAATAGTGGAAGTGGCTTATCCAGATTTGGTARGTCACCCTGGCTCTTTATTGGGGTGCACAAGTGTGGCCTAAAACCCATAAGWATTGAGAGTGAATCCTCTGTTGGCCTACACAAGAAGATTCAAATTAAACAGGCAACAAACTAAATATAACAACCAAAATATAAGGTAACAAAACCATAAMGGAGCAGTTGGCCTTCTGACCAACAGCAGAAGAAACAGGAGAAAAATCAGTGTTCAAATGCTCCTACCTCTGTGAGTTGCAGCAAACCACCATTCCCTTAAAGATCCATGTGAGAGCTCTGCAAAACCTTCAAAGCTCATTTCAAAAGGAAACACACAAAGGAGTGAACCAGTGGCTCTTTCTAATACTGCTTTGAGGAATGATTTCCACCCTTATGTAGGTCTGCTAACTCTTTGGATCAGTTTCTCTGTAAATTCATAGCAAACTCTGACTACCTTGGCCAGAAATGAGTGTTTGCACTGAAGCTTTTTACTTTCCTTTTGGGATGTAGCTTCTGTGGAAAGCACATTGATGTTTTAAAGCCTTTTGAAATGATGGAACATTTCCTGCAGTTCGCTGCTTTTGCACCATCTGGCACCTGAAATCTTCTCATCACCAAATAGGTTTTAAAAGGCATAATGCAGCCACATTTGTCATTCAAATGAGATCTGATGGGGGTYGGTCTTGGGAAACAGGATTAAAACCTTTGAGTAACCTTCAGATTCAGTCCCTGGTGTGTGTTTGGTTCTTCAGGCTGTAGCAGTCAGTGTTTGATTGCTACCAGGAATCCTGGTGATGTGGCCAGCAGGAGAACATTTAGCTCCTACTGGTGATGGAGCTAAATTGAGCTCCTACTAGCTCAACACTTGTCCATTGTGAATGAATTAACAGTCTCCAGGTTTCRGAATAAATGTTTGGTTAAATTTTGTGTTGGTACAGCCTCCCAGAGGTGATAATTCAACCCCAGCAGCGTGGAGCTGAGCTCTGTGCCCGGTCCCTCTCTGCGTGTTCTGAATTTTCCCACCTCCCTGTGCTCACACTCTCAGGATTAGACCCCCTCATTTCATCATCCTGCCAAGCAGGGCCGGGCTGGCTGTAACCACTGTGCTGTTTTCACTGCTCTCAGGGTGGAACCGGCGCTCACSCGGATCAAGGAGGATCGCAAGCGGATCATCCTGCCCGCGATCGACAACATCAAGTACAACACGTTCGAGGTGCAGCAGTACGCCAACGCCGCCCACGGCTACAACTGGGGGCTCTGGTGCATGTACATCATCCCCCCGCAGGACTGGCTCGATAAAGGGGATGAGTCAGCTCCCATCAGGTAAATCTCCCCCGTGCTGTCACTTTGGGCTGAGCGCTGTTTCCATCTCAGCTGTCTGAGAGGGGGARTCGAGGTGAACGAGGCTATGGGGAAATAGAGTGAATCTGGGGAAAACTGATGGCTCTACAAAAGTTGTGGATGCGTGTGCTGCCTCTCAGAGCTGCCCCACGATGTACACAAGTGCTCTAAGCGTGTGCTTCAAGCACATTTTCTGGCTCTTAGTAGGATAACGGGATCTTTGCCATCTAAGCTTTATTTTTCCAGTGAACATTGGCRTGTTATGTGTGTGAGAAGCAAAGGTATTGTGGATATGATTACAAAGAGGCAGATTTCAGCTTTGTTCTGTGGCCATCAGCCCAAACCAGAGCATCCCAGGAGCACCAGTAGGAGCTGTGTTAGCCTCATTCTATTCCAGAGTTACCCATGATTTTTTTTTTTGTTTGGTTTTTTTGGAAAACTTTGCACATGTTCAGAGTTGTCCCACTCGTTGAATTTTAAAATGGACCCAGACCATGTAGTCAGTGTCAGTTTATTTTTTCCCTATAAGAGAACATTTTACATGTTGCATTTTACATTTTACATTTTACAAAATGGAATTTTCYAAGGAAACGCTGCTACAGGAATTGTGAAGGTGCTTCTGAGAATCGTTACGGTGGGAAAACTGGAATTGATGTGAAAGAAGCTTTCCTTCCCCTTCATTTGAAAATTCACATCTCCAGCCTTTCATCTCCAGTGCAGATGCTTGTCTAACAGCTCTTCTGGGACATATTGTGCTGGGTTAAGGGTACTGTTGTTAGCAACTGTARAAATAAATGCTAAAAAATATGAAGCCCAAGTATGCACTTTAGGTTGCTCTTATTTTTAAGACGACTTAGGAAGGACACAAATTACCACCTGAGAGCCATCTTCATTTTCATGTGTATCAGCTTCATCTTAAAGTAAGGTAAAACTCTACTGTATGGTCCCAGTGTGGGCTCTGGCARAGGAGCTGATGAACTTCCCTTGCAGTCAGATCCTGAAAAGTTCATCCAAGCACTTCAAACAACACTTCCACCTGAAAAAAAAAATGCAAGGGATCTTTTGGGAGAGAAAAGACACAGATTGATCCCATTCCTGAGTGATCAGTGGGATGGGAGCACCTCACAGGATCCTTCCCTCATGCAGAATAATATTTTAATCTGTATTTGAGCAAGTGTTGCACATTGTACTTGGGTTCATTCTCATACCCCGTGACTGCAAAACAGAGCTATACAGTAATATTAACCTTATTTACCACAGGACAGCACAGTCCATCATCACTGACCTTTTGCTTGGCTTGCAACCTCAATAAGCAGAGAAGTAATTACTTAGGAAATCAGTTTTCCTGGATAACATGCCCTGCTTGCCTCACATTGTTTCAAAAGTGCAGGTGTTTTATACCTGTTTCACTCAGCCCTGTGAAAGTTTATTGATAAAGAAAAATTAATCATCCAAAGYTTTCATTCCTGAAAGGTTTTGCACACTCCATGTCTCGCAATTTRTATGTGAAATCACTGTATTAATTTCCACATGGATTGCTCCAGTATTTGAGTGTCTTCTGTTCTGGAGACAATRATCAGATAAGACTGAAGTAAGAAGTTAAACCTCTGCAATAAAGGGCCAAATTTACCATGGATTTTCCTCAATAAAGATTTTTATTCAAGTTCTTGTTTGTGTCATGCTGGCACTGGGTTGGASTGACACAGAAGTGAACAAATCCAAACTCAAGCACTGAGCAGCATTAAAAAGCAGCTGGCTCCTGAGAGCAGGGATTTCATTCTGACCCTGAGTGAAAAAACCCTTCAATTCAGCAGGGCATAAACTGCCCAGAGACATATGAGACAAGTAGCAGCAGGAGCAGAAGACACAACCCTTGCTGCTAAATAGCACAACTGATGAAAAAAAAATAAACCTTTGCGATTGCTTAAGCATCTCTTCTGCAAATTAAGAATTAGATGCCCTGAAATGCAGAGATATCAGCATTGAACTGTGAACACTTCTGTGTCTCCCTGGGCACGAGTTCTTTGAATGCAGGGATCTGGGACAGCAGAGCATCCACTTTATGGCCACACTGCACTGTTTCTTGAGGGGCCTCTGAAGCTGTAGCACCTGGTTGGATTTACTAAAGCCTCTGGTTTTTGTGTTGTTCCTACCTATGGAAATATGGAATATGCCAGTGTAATTGTGGTAATGGAAAGAGTGAATATGTGAGTGGTATTGATGAAAACAATAAGGAAGCCCCTACTTAGGATTGAGATTTGAAAGCACTCATGATGGGAATTTAGTAGCTGTGGAATATTTAAAGTATGTTTTAGGCTAGTGAGTGAAGTTTTAAAATATCTGTTGGTTTGGTACAGATTTTRATCTTGTAACCAGCTTTTCAAACCATGTACTGCAACTGTGATTCTGTTCCAGTCCACTCTGCAAGACATGCAGGTGGATCCACATTGATGTGTTTGAATCCATGTGTCTGTGTAAGATTGCAGAGCTGTTCATCAGCATGAAAACTGCAAATTCATTGAGMCCTTGCTAACACTGTCCCTCTTAAGGCTTTCTTTGCCACTGTCTTCAGCAGGTATTGGCTTTGGTTTGTGCCTCTCTGTGAGTTTTGTGGAAGAAAAGGCTGGTAACAAATAGCCCTGTGATTGGTTTTGTGGTTGGTGTAGCTGAATACCTCCTGCCAGATCTCCAAAGGGATTAGGGATTTTCAGCATTAAAGAACTTGTGTACCCTGCTATGAGCGASGATCAGAGCCCTGGCATTTCTCACATGTTTACATTGTATGAATAAATATCGTCAGTGTGCAGAATTGGGTGAGGCATTTAAGAATCAGGGTCCAATTCCAGTTTCCTCCTGGGACTGCACAACAGATGTGCTTCTTTCCTAAGAATTTTTCTATTTGAAGCCTGATCCTCGAATTTCTTGGGCACTGACAGTGGTRTGGTTTATTCAGAGCCTTGCTGGGAAAGAGCAGGACCTGTCCCTCGCTGCAGCGGGGCATTCACGGGCAGTCATGCCAAGTGTGCACCATGAAATGTCACATCAGCTGTTGTGATCTCAGTGACAAAGGGGACATGGCCTTGAAGTGCTAACAAAGGTAAAGAAATAGCAAGAACAAAGTGCCAGATTTTGCAAAGATTCCTGATGCACTTTCAAGTCSGTTCTTTTTTTCCCCCCACGTTAATATTCTGAACTTCCGAACAATTGATGTTCCCCGAGCTGGCTTCTGCAGGCAATCCATTTTCCATGTTTGACATTTGAGATGGAAGACGTCTAACGTGAAGATTTAAACGAGGATTGCTGTTTTGACACGCTGTGTCCATCACGTCATTTTCCATTTGTGTTCCGGCGAGCGCTCTGCCCCAAAACGTCCTTATCATCTGGCAACAAACTGTGTGACAAAGGATCCTATTTCAGAGAGCTTCTGATGAATTTGACTATGCATTGAAACAAGCTGGGTTTTTTAATGCATGCTGTATTTTTTTTCTTCTGGGTTTTGGAACAGCAAGGAAGGTTTCTGGTGTTCTGAGCCCTGGCTCTGTCTCGTCCTCCCTCACCTGCCGTGATGGTGACGGACTGCTCTGCATTTGATTTCTTGATCAGCAGCCACTAACATTACAGTCATTAGTCAGCCTCACCCAGCCAAGCTCTGCACAGTTTTCCATTTTATCTTCCTCCAGCAGCAGTGGTGCATTTCATTGTTGCATATGTTCTCACTTACTGCTTTAATATGCCATAGCTTGCYACCAGTAGGGATGTGTGTGTACAAGCACTGCATCAGCAGCTCCAGAAAGCGMCAGTGCTTTGCTCATGGATGTAAATTAGAGTTTGATGTGCCCCCAGTGAAGTGTTTTGTGCTGCCTCCTTTATCTGGGGATGTGTGTGCCCATCTCACRTGCTGGTCTGTAACAACAATGCTGATGAAGCCAGTGTGGGCCCTCTCTGCTCTGGGAAAAAAATCCACCTGTGTGCCTGAGCCTAGGAGGTAAAATCTTTCAGGATAAACCATGCTGCCATGTACTAATAAAACTGGTGACTGTTTATGGACAGCTTATGRCCATCTTTTCAATTTCTGGTTCACAGGAGCCTGTAACAGAGCAGTTTCACTTTTTATTTGTTCAGATGCTGATGGGTGTCCTGCCTTTCCAAAAAATTTACTTCCACAGGGCATCAGAGAGTTATTCTACATCCGTATTTGCTCTGCCTTTCTAGCTGAGCATTAGCTTGTCATCTTGTCATTTTTTTTTTCCCTTTATCGCCTGAGCAGAAAATCTGTCCTTGAGTTCTGTTCTCAGGGCCTGGTGTGAYTCTTTCTTGCAGAAGACATGAGTTGTAAGAAAAATAGAAATAYTTATACAGGTACCATGCAGGTTTCCCTACTTACATGTCAAAAACCCCTCTGTGCTTCCTCCCTTCCCCCAGGGCATTCCCCAGGGCAATGTTTCTCTCACTTCTCCCTTGCTCCAACGGTGCTATCAGGTAATTTCCCCAAATTGACTGTGCTGTATCTTTCTCCAGTGYAGAATCAATACAATTCTAGGCTGCATTTTAAGCTTTTGGCTGCAAAAMCCCATTTTGCTGTGTTTCTCACGTTATCCTTCGAGTGCTGCTGTTGATTATAATGAACGCTTATAACATCCTCCATCGTGTCAAAGAATATTCCACAGATCAATTAAGTTTCACAGCACCTTTGAGGTGTTGGTAAAAAACAGCACACTTCTAATTGCTGGTTTTTCCTTCTAAAAGTGTCTCTGTTTTACTAGAAAGGGCATGATTAGGAAAAAGGTTGTTTTACATAAAGGTTAATATTTTGTCCTCTGAAGTTGTGAAGTGCTAAGAGCACTCACCTTCTCTCGTGCTGCCCCTTGGGCAAGGAGCAGTGGGTAAGATGTGCTAACACAGCTGCTTTTGCTCATGTCGCCATTTCTAGCTTTCAGGAAAAGTCTGCTGCACTGGAATATTACAGGTTCTGGGAAAACCCCCTGCTAAAGCCAGGGCTTGAGCTTTTTTCAAGCAGATTTTCGAAAAGTGTTTGCAATACGTCTCTGTGACACTGTAGTGCAGTACAACATTATCCAGCTACATGCTTAAAGCACTTTTAGAAGTGAATTCTGGGCTTTCAGGCTGCTCAGAAGCTGTTCTCAGACTTTCCCCTGTATTATTAAGTGTGAAATCTGTGAAATAGATGGAGAAGTAGAGGCAGAGGGTGGTGACTCGGTGGTGACAGAGCTGGGGACAGCAGCACCGTCACCCACTGCTCAAGGCAATTTTTGACTGGCTTCTCTGAAAAGCTGGATGTGGCTCCTTCTGTGCTTGTGCTGCTGCTGTTGCTCAGTCCTGGAAACACTTCTTTTTCTGAAAAATCCATGAWATCTATATTTGAATAGATATAATGAGCAGAAATAAACCCTAGAAGGGAGAGAGGGAGTTGCAAAGACAGTCCTCAGTGGCATTCCTCTGTGAGGGATGATTATGTAGTTGCATCTAAAATRTGTTTCCCGCCCCCATTCAATTAACAACTCAGTGTTTTAATGGACAGAGCTGACAGCTGCAGAAATCCATCCYCCAGAGAGAGAGATTCCAGCACCTGAGAGCAGTCTGCAAAGGCTGCCAGTACCATYCCTCATTAGAAAGGAAGGAGCCGCCCTCACAGGAGCATCCTGTGCTGCCTCCAGAGGATTTTTGTGGGGGARGCAGACTGGAAAGAAGGAGTCTGAGCCCAAACTGGCATGTCAGATTTGCAAAGGAGTGATGCCTTGATCCAGTGAAGCCTATTTAAATACATTAAAAGGAAAATAAAGGAAGTGGCATGTTTGTTGCCCCATCTCCTTTCTTCTTTTATCATGAGTAAAACTTAAAAAATACACCTGCAATATTCCCTTAAGGCTTATTTCATTGCAGAAGTACTGAATTTCTTTACCTTGGTTGTGTCCTTCTTTTATTTCAGTTTCTAGACCAAATTTATTCCTTGTTAGCCTAAGATACACTTTTCAGTAATACAAGATGTGAAATCAAGGTGTATATGTGTCTCATCCTGTACAGGAGAGGTCTCAGCTTTTTTAGGCAAGTCTATTTCCAGGTTTGGCTCTGGCAAGTATGATCAGAAAGATGCATTTTATCAAATAATTTGACTTTTAAAAATTCATCTGTCTTGCAAAGATCCTGGTGTGTAAATCTATTCATCAACAGAAGATGGAAGTGCCCAGCCAGGAGTATCCAGGACCTTGAGTAGTTTYGATAGAACTTTGGGACCATTTCTAACTAGGGAATGATTCAACTGAAAGTCTTCASAAATTACAGCCTCAAACAGAGAAGTACCAGAAATTCCTGCACACATGAAGTGCCACATGATTGATGCTAATATATCAATTTAAAATGTAATTTTAGATTGTTTTATCTGTGTAGATTTTTTTTATGAGGTGGGTTCTGCAATAGCTAAACAATGACTTCATTTTTTTGCTTTAATCTCTGTGTGCAGGACACCGGCCATGATCGGCTGCTCGTTCGTGGTGGACCGAGAGTATTTTGGTGAGATTGGCTTGCTTGACCCTGGCATGGAGGTCTATGGAGGAGAAAACATCGAGTTAGGCATGAGAGTGAGTAACAAAGAAGGRTCTTTGTGCCATGTCCATTTGCAAAGAGTGGTGGGGAKCTCRTGGCCCAGCAGAGTTGCTGTCTGARTGATGGGCTGTTCTCCTGGAATAATTGATAYTRRAACTCTRTCTGGAGTGAAAGGGCCAGTAAATGTATGTTCCTGGCCTTAGAGACCTGATAACAGTCAGAAATGTGCTTTGTTGGTTCATTCTGAGGAAGATTTTCCCTTTTCCCAGTAGCTGTGCTCGTGCAAAAAGCTGCTCTCAGCCTCCASGAGCTCATTGCCCTTTGCTGGTGTTGTACATTTGAGGTCTAACAGATGCAAAACCTGCAGGAAACCAGGGCCAGGCTGGTAGAAGTCAATTCTGATGTTCTACCTACCCCACATTGTGAGTGCTGGGATATTTTACACCTCTAARAATCCTCCTTATGAAATAAAAGGTCCAGATATTTGATCCTGTCAGATAGGTCAGTGTGAAGTGTGGACAGATGACTTTGGAGCAGCATCAGTCCTGTGCCCTGGACCTACAGGAGGTTTGATACCTGTGATCCCTTGCCCTTGTTTTTGAGGTGGTGCTTGCCAGCAATTCCTCCTGAAGCCCAAGGAACATGTCTTTGCTTAGCATTTGAAAATTAGGCCGCTTAATGTTGCATGAACAGAGTTTCCTCATTATAAAGCTGACTGTTTAATTATTTTCCCTTTACTCTTTATCCTCTGCTTCCCAGTAACACGTCCCTGGTGCATGTAATGTGCTCATTAAAGCATATATTCTGCTCATGGTGAAACATTGAACATCAAATTAGTCCATTCTTTATCCCACTCTTTTTTTSTAAAATGGCTACAAACTCCTTCCCACCACTGGACTGAGGAGGAAGGTCACTGCAGCAAGAGTTTATTTTCACAAATGGGTGTGTATTTGTTATTCCAGCATGGCAAGAGGGATAGGGTTTGTAATGGGGCTGAGTGAATGCACTGCTTATACTTTAAGGTTCAGAATTCACATGGGGGACAGAAAAACTGCTACCACAAATCATCCAATTTTCCTTAAGAGGGTCAGGCTATTACCAGGATTGTGTGAGCTTTCCTTTATCATTGTGCAGGGCTTTGAGCTGTTTGAAACTTTTTCCACATGGCTGCTCCCAGAATAGATTGCACACTCTGGCAAAACTCTGGCGCTGTTGATGAATAAGCCTCCTAAGAAATCTGAAAGCTGTTGCTCTTCCTTAGACGAGGAGAACTTGCTGAGTGTGATTAGGGCTCCTGGTAAACAGGAGGCAAAGGTTTTAATAGGATTATGAAATGGCACTTGCTTGAAGAGATGAGGATTTGGAGTGAGCAAGGATGGGTTTTCAGGGATAGGGAACCAGTTAAAGCCTGCAGAAACCTTGGATCCACAAACCAGCTCTCATTCTTTGGGTTTTATTTTGGTTGTTTTTTTTGTTTTTTTTTTTTGCCCCATAAGAAAATCTGACCTTACTGTTCGGAAAAGGTTTTATAAAAGTACAAGGGAATGAGTTTTTATTCTGAAATAAGCTGTGTGTCCATAGAATGGGTCTGTTACTCTGTTTCCAGCCTGGATCCATCATGGTAAGTAATACACACTGTCTGCCTCCTAATTTGCAAATCCTCTGTGTGATCCCCTCCTGTGTGTCTTTCAGAGCTGTCAGAAACTAACAGCATGAAAATGCACAGGAACCTTCTCCCTTCTCTCTAGGCTATTTATAAAAACGCTGTGAATTTACCAAGTTGGGTTTTTTTAACTACAGAACCTCCAAGTAAATTGCAAAAAATCACTTCATTGCAAAGGCCTGGTGCAGGGATTTTTTGTGTGTCCCCCACACCTGCACAGAGGGATGCTGTTCACCATGTGTGATTGCTTGTGTGAAGCAATGAAAGACAGAAAAAGAAAGGAATAAATGAAGGCGTAAGAACAAAAATTAATATCATAATAAATAATAAAATGTAGGGRAAGCGGTAGGACATGCTTGGCTGAAAACAGCCCCAATTTGAAATTAGCTGTAACAATAATCCTTTTAAACTTTTTTGCAAACTGTTATCATGTTGCTGCTAAAAGAAAAGGGATTAGGTTTGGAGTGTCTGAAATAGATTACATTGCATCTGTTGAACTCTGGTTTAAATTGTTTTAATAAAGTGAAATAGGGAAACTTGGCGAAACTAATGAGCTGATTTGGGAGGATACTGTTTGATAGCCCAGCTAATTCCCATGAAATCTATTGTTTATTAAAAAATTATGATCTTGGGTATTCTACTGTTGGCTTTGCCATTTCCTAAATTCCATAGATGGAAATATTTAAATAATTAACCTAAGTGATTTTCTGTATTGAATAAGCAGAGAAGCAACTGATTAGGACTACCTACTATGCCTATTGAAAATATTTAAGGGTCTGCAGCTCTTTTTTAAACTCCTGTTATTTTTTTGTGTAAACTTTACAGTCCTGCAACACTCTCCTGATGGAGTGACCTTACACTGAAGCCAAGAGAGGGAGATTCTGGTCTGGTTGAGAAAAAGCAGCAGCTGTTCTGGGAAATAAAAGGGAGAAGGACACATCTGCAGGCTGGTGATAGTAAGGAAATAGATGGACACTTACACAATGTCATCTTGTACTGTATTTTTCAAAGATGACAGTTTCACTGCAAAGTGGATAAATCCAGGGAAATTCTGTTAGGGAAAATGGTGCTATTCTCTCACTGCTCACCAACCAGCAACTGGAGCTGATGGGGATTATTATTAGCACCTAAACAGAGAAAATTACAACACCCAGTCTTGGCTGACTCCTCTGTGGATGAGCTGTCCTTCATGAGCACAGGCCAAAGAAGACACTCTAAATTCAGGGTAGATCATCTTTGCTGCTSCTGAACCTCAGAGAGAGCTGTAGTACAGAGAGATGCCCCAACAGCAGGAGAAATTGAAGCAGTGCTTGAACACAGAGGAAGACAAAGATCCCTTTAAGTGAAGATCCCAAATCACAGCCCGTGAGAAACAGCGTGGTTTGCAAGCATCATGTGAGCTCTGGTAGGAGCTGCAGAGACACACTTAATTATTTAGAAAGGGATCGTATAAACATTAAAAGCTGAGTTTATGATTTAACTTAATCCAAGCAGTTTATGATGCATCTTTTTATAGTGAGCCATTAATCACTGTGCTAAGGATCTCTCGCTTCCCCTGCTGCTCCAGTGATAAGGAGAATGAATTGCTGCTCTTTTCACTTCGTGCCCATCAGCTGTAATGGTGGGTGGGGAGAGGTCAAGCATTTATTTTAAAGGATGCTCTGGCAGAAATTGGATTCTGCTTCCACCGTTAAGAATCCAAACAAATTCAATAAAAAAGATGTCGCTGCATTGATAACTGGAAGTAAAACTTCTTTTCTTTTATGGCCAGCTTCAACTGGCCAGGCTGCTCTGTTCTCAGTCACATTTTCAGGTGTGTCACGGGTGACCTTGGCCAGTTTTGGGGCTCCTGTCAGTGGAATGGCCCTGGGAACACACAGCTCATCAGGATTGGAAAGAGCTGACCCCAACCAGGATCCAGCTCAGACCCCTCAGGCTCCATCTCTGGTGTTGTGATGATGTTGGTGATGGAGGCTGAGCTGCCAAGCTGAAACCATGGGCTGTGTAAATAGAAATGCAGTCCCACCTCTGGGTTACACAGTSCAGTGTGTGCTGTAAAAAAACCACAATGCAGGTGCACCAAAATCCTTCATGAGGAAATGAAACTCGTTACCTAACCTAACTTAAAACTCTATTTGCTCATCATTCTGTACAACAATAAGTGCTTCCAATTATCCCAATAATCTAAGAAACACAAACACAGATGGGAGCACTCCACCAGTAAATAACTTCATTTTACTATGAAGTTTTTCAGTCTTTTRTAAGTATGAAGCATTATTTTTATGGACTAATCGACTTCCATAAGCAAGCAAATCATTATACTTTCCAGACTTATGTGATATGCCCTGCCTTTACTTTCTTTAAAAATAGATGAACTACATTCTTTTCTGAGCAGAAATGCTAATGGTAGATTGTGGAGTAGTGAATTTTTGACCTCATTTTATTACCTTTAGCTAAAGAGATTTAGATTCCTTTGAGCAGTCAGTGTTTTAAATGCAGATTCCAGACTGGTATGCTGTAATAAAAGTGTCACAAGGTTTATGTATAGCAAACTTTAATTCTGGATTCTGGACAATGCTTTTTACTCTGTGTGATTCATGAGGACAGGTCCCTAATCTTAGAGCTAAATAGAAACCCAGTTCTGGTGAGTTACTCAAAATTCCAGCATTTTTTCACATATGGCGGGGTAAAATATAAATGAAAATTGTACAAAAATCAAGGTTAATAAGAGTGTCTTATTTTGGTGAATCTGAAAATACCTCATTTTTATTTTAACCTTTCCTAAAGTGTGATTTTTAGTACAAATTCTGTTTTGGATTAAAAGTCTTTAATGAAAACCTTTTAGTTTGAAGACATTTAATCACTTAAATGATGTTAACAAAACCCCACGATTGCTGACATCTGAAAACATAGTGTGCTCTGTCCTTAGACATGCCTATTCACACTGGAGTGCAATAAATCAGCATTTTCAGCATGAAGTTAAATGCTATTAAAATATTTCTGAGCAGTTCTACCCTGTCTAAGCAAAATCCTAGCAAGTGATGTAATCTGCTGTTATTGGAAATTGCTGCTCTGCTTGGGCTGCRAAGATCTCAGCGATAAATCTTCCAGGTCTCACCCCCCAGATCAAAAGTGTGAATAAAGATGTCCTCTTTTTCCACCTCCACTTTAATTTAGCAGTTTTATAGGTATTTCCTAAGGTAAAAGAGCTCTAAGCTTGTAAAGCCAAGCGTTCAGAAATGATGAAAGGATTGAATTTGTGGTGCCTGGGTTGCATTAATTCTCAGSTCCCTCCCCTCCTCAGCAGAGGGGYTGGAGMAGGGGGTTCTGTGCTGTTGATGTCCTCAGCACATCCCAGTGTTCTGCAGCTCC